AATCCAAAAAAAGAGTCCAAGTCCATTTTGAAGTTCATTCCAATTGCAAGTCCAAGTTGCAAGGTCCAATTAAATTTGTTTCTTGCCTTCAATGTCCACCATTATTTCGAAATGTGCATATTAGTGTTGGGAAATTATTTAATTTTCCATATGGGCTGACATATGTAATTAATTTTGTAAAAAGACTATTTTAAAGTTAAGCCCAATTTAAAGTGATCTAATAAAGAATTAAGTAATTGAGTTTAGGGCATCTAAATAAAGTATGGACTGGATTATATGTGTAGAGCCCAAATTTCTTTATAATTGTATTTCATGATTAGCAAAATACATATAGAAACTATATAAAAGGTTATGGTCCCCAATTCATCTCAAACTTTTTATACTTTGTGTCATCCCATCAACACAAAAATATAAGAGAAAGCATATTGAGGAGGAATATCTAAAACCCACAATCAAGAACAAACAATCTACAATCAAGAATCAAGAAAATGATTCAAGAATTTAAGAATTCATAATCAATGATCAAGATCAAATATCCGGAAGACAAGATTCAAAGATTATAATTCAAGATTCATCATTCGAGGGACAAATCAATGGATCAAGGTATATTTCGCATTATTAATTTTATTGGTAATTTGATATGGAGGATTTTGATAATAAAGTAATTACGTTTTCATGTTTATTAAGATTTAAAATTTCAACAAGTGGTATCCAAACCGACTCCATATTAAACCATTGGATTAAAGAAGAAGTTTAGGGAAGAAATTCATATTTTGGATTCTCCAATTTTGGAATACGAATTTGGTCTTATATCTCGAATTGAAGAATTTTGGGATTTTTCAAAAAATAATAATAATGAATGAATGAATAAAAGTTCAAAGGCTGAATTAAGGTAAATTATAAGAATTCTGCTTTGGATTTGCGTCTATATCTATATTAATGATTATTGCATAAAAAATAGCGTGGACGTCTTTTATGAACTAAGGAATTAAATCAGCTAATTACGGTAAATTAATGCCATTAAGAGGGGGTGGGATTTTGTTTCTTTCAGAATCCTACAAACAACTTTGGTAAGAATGATGGAGGGGTTTATTTTAATATTCTAAAGTTATAATGGTAAAGCTGGCAGTTAATTTTTGAGTAATGCTATTCGTAATCGCTCACTGCGGTAGTCGCCCTACGTGGCATACACATAGTAGGTGATTATTTGATGCATTAATATAGTAGTTTTTTTATTCATTAATGCATCAAATAATCACCTGTCATGTGTATGCCACGTAGAGCGACTGCCGCAGTGAACGACTGCAAATAGCATTAGTCTTAATTTTTGGTATTGAGTTATGGTTTTCTCCATTCGTCAGCCATGGAATGAAAATCAACAATTTGCGGCACGGGTTGCTTAGCCCAAAATGGGCGTTGTGGCACTGTCTTGCCATTTGATTTTTTTTTTTTAAATTAAAACAAAAGAAAAAGGAATAATAAAATATCAAGGGGCAAACAATTCAAATCTGTGTTTTATATATTTACTTCGAATTATTAATTTTCAGAAATAGATTAGCTGAAGCAACATGTTACTAAAGTAACCTCTCTTGTCTAAATTAATTTATTTGAAATATTAGGATGGTTGTGTGCAAGGGCGAAGCCAGGAAATTTGTTCAATGCGAACATAATTTAACTCACATCGAACATTTAGTTTTGATCATGAATTTAATGATGATAAAACTATAAAACAAAATCCGATTATACTAAAAATGACATAATTTATAATTAAACATGTTCCTTGCAAGTTTTCATATTTTGACAAGTGAAGTCCAAATCAAACTATGCCTAAAATCAAGCAAAATCTTGGGATATTGCTAATAATAAATAAATAAATGTTTGGGCCTAAAAATTCAGTGCCGGCATATGCCCGCACTCATCCCAACATGGCTCCCTCCTAGTTGTGTGTACGTAATTTATGCGGATATTAGCCGGCCCAAAGGAATGTCAATATTTGGTAGAAGTATTTGCACACCAACGGTAATAAATATGTAATAATTGTAAAGTTTTTTTATTATATGAACACTGAATCAGTCCAAAAATAGACTTAATGATTGATCGAATTTATTGTCAATATTTGATTACTACATCAAAAGTACCACTTCCAAGTTCATATTTCCGTCCAAAAACTAAATATCAAAGTTGTGCTCGATCTCTTGTGATGGGACTCACCATTATTTGAAATTGTTGATTGTCCAATACGGATTTGATGTAAACATGTTATTAAGGTTTAGGTTATCTATTCGGTTAATCTATCTACTTCTGCAATATCTGTCAAGATCAATTCAATTCCTGTACAGGAACCAAAGTTTAAGGGTTGGAAAGAGAACGTTTATATTGTTTTTGGTGACATGGATATAGACTTTGCTATAAGGACTGAATAGTCCACTACTCTTACGAATAAGAGTTCCGTTAATAAAATGGTACTGGAATAAGTGGGATTATTCAAACTACATAAGCTTTATGATTATAAAGCATAAAATTCTAGCAACATTCAGGGGCATTCTGTCTAATAAGGTTAACGGCCAAGAAATTTCTTAGATAAATATTCCTAAATGTTTTTGTGAAAATATGATAAGGTCGAAACTAGTATGCTTCTAGCAAACTTGATTTCACTGAAGTATAAGGTTAAAGAAAAATATACAGGGAGTAAATCATGGATGTGTCTCACCTTACTTCAAAACCAACGACATTAAAGTATGAGCTGTCTGATGACTTGTTCATGCATATGTTTTTTATTTCTCTTTCTGCACAATTTAGTTAATTTAAGGTTTATTCCAACTGTAAAAATGGGAAGTGGACTCTTGATGAGTTCATTTTATATTGTGTGCAAGAAAAAAAAAGTCTAAAGCAAGAGAGAATTAGATGTAGTCACTAGCAAATACCTCTAAGAACAAGTAAAAGAATAAGAAAGCCGCATTCAATTTGGTTTAAAAGAAACAACAAATACCTAAAAAAGATAAATCATCTAGTTGTTACTTTTGTAAAAATTTGGGACAGTTGAAGAGAGATTGTACTAAATACCACACTTAACGTGTAAAGAAAGTACACTTCTCACTTTGGTTTGTTCTATGGTTAATTTAGTTTGAATGCCAAGACACGTTTGGTGGATAAATTCTGGTGTCACTACTTATATAGGTGTGTCTATGCAGGGTTGTCCAAACTGCCAAAAGCCAATTGATGATGAAAGATTCATCTATGTGAGCGATGACAAATTAGTTAAAGTTGAAGCTATATAGACTTTTAAATTATTAGTGGTTTCTGTTTCTACATTGGACAAATTCAATTACTTTTGTTTAATTAGAAATAGTAAGTTTAGTCTTTTTCTTAATTCAAATATTATGGATACCAGTTCTTTATCCGATTATAATAACCTATATCTGTTCATAGGGTTGCCTTTTATAAAATAAAATAAAAATTGTATTTGAATTCACGTGGTATTAAATATAAATTAACTAATGAAAACTTCACTTTGTTATGACACAAGTGATTAGGTCACATCTCTCAAAAGAGAATGGAAAATCTTGTGACAAAAGGAATTCTTGATTTCTTTAATTTTTCAGACTCAAGTTTTTATGTTAATTAAATTAAGTGGAAATAAACAAACTATAAGAAGATTAGGAGCCAATCGAATTTCGGATGTCTTAGAACTAATTTATATGGATATTTGTGGGTCATTTCCTTTGATTTCTTGGAATGGTCAACAGTAATTTATTATGCTCATAGACAAATTTTTCTCACTATAGCTACATATATCTCATCTATGAGAAATCTCAAATACAGGACATGATCAAGACAAATAATGCTAAGGTTGAAAATCAATTCAGCAAAAGAATAAAACACGTTAGATCTGACCATAGTGGTGAATCCTAGGACAAATATAACGAATCAGGAGAACAACGTCTAGAGCCTTTTGCTAAATTCATAGAGGAATGTGGAATCGTTCCACAATAAACCATGCCAGATTCTTTCAGCATGAACGGTATTGCTAAAAATGAAACTGAACACTTAAGGACATGGTAAAGAGTATGATTTGTCATTCCACCTTGCAAGGGATGAGCATTAAAAAATGTAGTTTATATGCTTAATAGAGCTCCAAGTAAAGCAACTGTCACAACTCATCATGAACTTTGGACAGGCAAGAAGCCTAATTTGAAACATTTGCACATTTGTGGTTGTCCAGCTGAGGCAACACCTTATAAGCCTAATGAAAAGAAACTGGATTTTAGAACTGTCAATTGTTATTTCATTGGATACTGGGAGAGGTCAAGGGGTTACAAATTTTATGATCCCCTACAATGTCAAATTTTGAAATGAAAAAGTGTTCAGTTTTTTGAGGATGTAGAGTTTGCAAGGAGAGATAAGGTTAAGAATTTTGTAATGAAAAAGTCCAACGATGATTGAGTGCATAAGAAAAAGTCCAAATCTTTCAACATTAATTGATCTTTGTAGAATGATAGCTTCATTAGTTAGTTTGGCCAAAATTCCACTATTACAATTGCCAACTTAGTCAATCAATTTTAATGTTTATGTGCATAAAGAAGGAAAATATATTTTGAATAAATAAAAATATAACCGATTTTTTAGATGAAATGCATCATTAACATAATAATAACAAAAACACTACCACCCATTTAATAATCGTGTATGTGAAGAGCCTTCGTAGCATATTTGAGTATAAATTTAGATAAATAATTTTGTATACTTTCACAAAATACTACAAGCTCAGATAGATGTTAACAGCCAACTAATTGCATGCTTATATTTAATTTCTGCGCCATCTAGTTTGACAGAACCCAATTTTGATCTGGTTAAACTTAAGAATAGTACAAGTAGAAAGAATTTTCTATGCATGCAACCTCCTTTTCTCCCCACCCCCCATCCCCACCTGCTTATAAACTTGCTGCTATTTTCATATATATATATAGCTGCAATGTAATCACACAAGTATAATCAAACCCTATCGTTTCTTATATTTTTTTCAATCTGAGAAGTGATATTTTCTAAAAATGTCTGTTCCATCGTTAGTAGTAGTAGCTGCTCTTTTCATTATAGTTTTACAGTGTAATGGTCAGTTGACCAACACATTTTACAGTACTTCATGCCCGAATGTGTCCATTGTCGTTCGTAATATATTGGAACAGGCTCAAGAAAATGATGTTCGAATTGGAGCCAAGCTTGTTCGCCTTCATTTCCATGATTGCTTTGTCGATGTAATTTTCTTCCCATTCTGCCATGTCATATTGCACTCCCCACGATTACACATTTTGAAAAGTTGAAGCTATTAGAGGCGACACATTTAAGTTTCGCCTTTCAAGGTGTAAGCCGAAATCCAAATTCATTTTTTGATTTAATGAATAATTTTTTTATAAATGGGTGATAACGAGACTTGAACTGATAGTTTAAGCAGTATTCAGAAAACCAACGCATAGCCTCGCGCTTTTTATTTTTTTTATTTTTAAATTTTCTCTCTCCTAAGCTCGCTATTTCAAGCTTTTTTATGCTTTAATTATTAAATAATATTTAAATTGATTTAAAATTTTAAAATAATATTAACATAAGAAAATGTTTTTTTCACTCTTAGGCCTTACCTAGGCTTGTCTAGCCTGAAGTTTGATCTTCATGTCTAGTCACGTTTTACGCTTTTATAACATTGAGTTGAAGAGAACATATATCTTGGGGCAGGATTGAGGGCGGTCATGAATGCATCTGATTGTGCATGCATATGTAATAGAGCAAATTGCTCCACTATTTAATTTCGAACTTATCATCTGAAGAAATATTTATGCAGTCAAACTCAACTGATATATTTGATACAAAAAAAATGTGTAACTTCTTATGCTTACTTTGAGCAGGGCTGCGATGGCTCAATTTTGCTGGATAATGCAGATGGCATACAAAGCGAAAAAGACGCTGGTCCGAACAATAATTCAGCTGATGGATTCGATGTTGTCGATGACATAAAAACAGCATTGGAGAATGTTTGCCCTGGTGTCGTCTCATGTGCAGATATTTTAGCCCTCGCTTCTCAAATTTCAGTAACCATGGTATCACAAACTGCTTTAATTTTATCCACTACAGCGTACCAAATATGCCCATAATTTTTTTCCATTGTCACAGGGAGGAGGTCCATCATGGGAAGTTCCTCTAGGCAGAAGGGATAGCAGAACAGCAAACCAAGTAGGTGCCAATAGTGACCTTCCTGGCCCTTTCGAGAGCCTTGGTAACGTCACATCCAAGTTCAGAAATAAGGGTCTTGATTCCACTGATTTAGTTGCTTTATCAGGTAATGTATCTATCATAGACTAAGGAAGCATACCATCGACTCAGATTTTACAGCATAATACTCGATTATGTTAACTAATTATTGTTAATCTTCAGGTGCTCATACTTTTGGGAGAGCCAAATGCAGTTCTTTCAGCCCCCGGCTTTACAATTTCGGCGACACGGGGAACCCTGACCCGAACATGGACTCTGCTTATAGGGATACATTACGTCAAACTTGTCCTCAAGGTGGAAATGCAGATACCTTAGCTAATCTTGATCCTTCGAGTCCCAATGGTTTTGACAATGACTACTTCACGAACCTCCAGAACAACAGGGGACTTCTTCAGACGGATCAAGAATTGTTCTCTACAAGTGGAGCTGATACAGTTGCTATTGTCAACCGATTTGGGAATAGCCAGAGTGAATTTTTCGATGCTTTTGTTCAGTCCATGATTAAAATGGGAAATATAAGTCCATTGACTGGAAACAGTGGAGAAATCAGGGCTGATTGCAAACGCGTTAATTAGACGAGTATTTGTTATAGATTTTTCTATCTATAGATTAGAAAGAGAAGTTTGAATCTGTAATTTAGAAATCGAGTTCCATATGCATTTAAAACAGCAAATTTTCAATCAATAAAACTGTAATTCAATCTTGTTTTATCTGATTCTTCTGCGATAAATGTCAATGAAATATGAAGAGCACAATAAAGTATTTACCCTGGTGAAATTCCCTCAAAAAATGATGTCGAATTTCTACAAAGATAGCCAGAAGTTCCAAAAACTGTGGAGAGATGTTCGCTACGAACATAAATGAGCATTCTTGTTAAAAATTGAGACATCAGTAGTCAAATCAATTATTCATTCCACTTCTACAGTTAAATTATTTGTAAACAGAAAGGAAGAAATTACAAACTTCTCCAGAAAGATCTCAACTTTTCTTCATGTTGTCCTTTCAATAAATATTCCAACGCAAAAGCCAATTCTAAGTTCGAGAAATACTCAAGAAAGACCTATAACCCTCTCGGGGGCAGTAGTATCAAGATCAATGTCACAGAAGCAAGAAGCTGGGACCGGCATTGTACTCATTTTCCCGACTAATGGATAGTTAATCGGGCTCCAAGATCAATGTCACAGAAGCAAGAAGCGGGTGTGGGTTTGTTTTAAATAAAAATTTCAGTTCACGAGAAAAAGTTTGAGCACTATATTTTGGGTTTTTTTATACCCAATAAATTCAGACGATAATTTAAAATAGTTGGCGAATAATTTATTGACACCATAAACTTGGTTTGACTCGAAAACGACCTGTACTTTTGGATGGCCCAAGTTGAAGTTGGATTTGTTGTTGATGGATGTGTGAGTCTTGGTTCAATTGTTATTAAGTTTGCCTTGGTTTTTTAAGTAGCCCTTTTACCTTATTGTTGGCTCAATTAAGTGGCCTAATATCCAATCTATGCCCTTGTTTGATCCCCATTTTGGAGGGAAATAATGCATTTTAAATAGTAAATTGATGGAGAATGTGTGGTTAAAAATTGAAGAAAAATTTTGAATTTGTGTGTAATATTATTTTATTTAAAAATATGTGATTGAAAATGAATTTTTAGAAAAATGGGAATCAAATAAGGGCATATATCCTCTATCACTGTAGCCATTTTTGGTGAGTTGTGTGGTGCAAGAGAGAAATGGAGAAAGACTTTTCCACCATTGTTGCTTATTCTTCTTACTTGCAAGACTCTTGCAAGTACCACTACCACCCATTCCTCTTTGTGGGATTTAAGAGAACTTGGAGCAGCCAAATGTGAAGGTAGAGTTTTGGTCGAACTGAAGTTGGGCGGTGTTCGTTTGATTGTTTTCTGAACCCGAAATTAAGATTTCTCGAGAGATTTTCGCGATACTATACATGCATAATCTATTTTACCCTTTTTTAGTCGAATAGATGATTGGCCCACCGTTAGCTAGCTTGTTTCCGATGTAGCAATGTAATTATTGGGAAGTCTAATTCTAGAAGTTGAAGAGAAAAAGTAGAATTGGCTACGAAATATTCATATTCATATTTATCTACGCAATGACTCGTCAATGTGAAAACGTCTGTGAAGACTCTTAATTTCGACAATGCATGTGAAAATTCTTAATTACAACCAAGCATGGGTGCATGAAATTGAAAGCTACCTTATTAGTAGACTTTCACAAACTATGGAGCTCACGTGTTAGCCAACTTGCATGTATCTACTTAAATTGGGCCCCGTCTAATTTGAAAAAACTCCGGTTGGGAAAGATATTTCTTATACTCTGTTTCACCCTATTTTTGGAAGAATACAATTTTTAATAGTAATTTTTTTAAAGATTGTGTGATTAAAAAATAGAAAAAAAATAATTGGATTCATGTGTAAAATTATTTTATTGGAAGGAAGTGTGGTTGAAAATGAGTCGGAGAAAATATGATTTTTTTGATAATGGAGCTCAGACAAGGACTTATCATCAGCAGTTAGATGTCACATCAGTTGGGGTCGATAATAAGTTGGAACTTTTGGACTTCTTTATTATTAGTGAGTTGCGTATACTAAAGGATACTTGAAGATATATAGCCACGGATTGATTCAATAAAAAATAACTTGATTAAAATTTAAATTAAAATCAACAATTAATTTTAATCACCCATTTCATTGAATTTACAATATCTTAACCACACATTTTATCAATTTTTTACCAATATCTATTGAAAATCTCATTTTTATCTAAATCAAACAAGAGCATAAGTTGTAGTAATTTACGTATTATTACGAATTATATCTTATTTATCATTCAATCAAGTCAAAGGTTAAGTAAATATTTCTGCAGTATTCAAATGATTAGATTTTGATTATGTGATTATCATATATTTCATTTTCATTTTTTGAATTTTATAATTTCTAACGCATACAACACAATTCTCATTGTGTTAGCAATGGGGATTTCATAACAAGATATTAAAAATATATATATTCTACATTATTTATTAATTAATGCAATAATTATATTGCAATTTACTTATCAAAGTTACACTATGTGCCACGGATGGCTATGAACATAAATCCATTTTAAACGATTTCGAGTACATTTTGTTAGAAATCAATTACCTCTATTCAAGTGATGACTTGCTCAACAAATATCCTCAAGATTTGACATTAGAGAGAAAATTGTAGTTGAGGGATTATCTTCTGACTTTATCAGCTTTTACTAATTCATTGGACATTGATAACAATAGACTTTTCTTATATTTATCAAGATTTGATCAAATTAATTAATATTGTTGGTTGGTAAGCATAGTTTTAACTTCTAGGTGGGAGCTTTCTTGGCTTGCACTCTAGAGTCCATGGGGACGTCTAAGTCTGATTCGTGTGCTTCGCCTCTAAATCTTGAAGATGAGCATCTTGGGTCAAATGTTGGAATGTTCGGTTTGGTTCCCGCACTTGACCGTTGTGAACATAGGGGCGGACCCAAGGGGGGTCCTAGGGGGTCAGCTGAACCCATCCTCCCTCACAACTTTTGATTTTTTTCTTATTATTTTTTTTTTTTATATAAGTCTTGTTTGATATCAATTGAAATCTAAATTTTAATCTAATCAAAGTTAACAATTATTTTTAATAACATATTTCATGAAATCCTTAACTTTTATCAAAATTTACTAAAAACGCGATTCTAACTCCCACCAAACAGGTCAAAATCACAATACATTTAAATTTTTTTCTCTTCTCTTACTCTCTCCGTCACACTTTTTGCCAAAACCTTAATCCTTTTAATTTTCCTACAAATTTTTACATCTACTATAAATTTTCACTTTTCAATCAAATTTTCAATTAATTAGAACATAAATTTGCATTTTCTCTTATCGTATTTGTGTACATAGAATGTATCTGAACTAATTATATCCAATTTAATTTATATTTTACGAATTGTATTAATTTGATTGAATAATGGTTATATATTTTTTATTTCGATCACTTAAATTTAGAAGTGAGCACTTTTTCCCAAAACTGGTGGAACCGGGCCGGAACCGTTTAGAACCAACCGATTCGATTCATAATCTTCTAAAAAACAATTTGATTTTGGGACAAATTTTTAAGAACCGACAGTTCTCATGGATTTTTTCTTGTGAACCGCGGGAACCAGACGGTTCTCATTAGATTTTTTCTCTTTTTTTGGGGTAAAATATATGACTTAATCTCCAACACTTTCATCAAAAATAATCGGGTTCCTTCTTAATTTTACACTCCAACAATTTCCTTCTTCTCTTTGATTCTTTCCTTGTCTCTTCTTATAATTCTTTGATTAATTGATTTTTAAGCTAAATTAGAATATTAGGTAAATTTACCTAAATAAATTTATTTATAATATATAATTTCATTTATAAGATGCGAAATATTTATTTTGTTTTCACTTTGTAAATTTATATCTAAATAAATCTTTGAATAATATGTTTGGTTCTTCTATATTTTGTTAAAAGTATCACGTTCATAGTATTTTTAGAATTTTTATTAGTAAACATTTTATTTTGACATTTCTAATATAAAGAATCGGACCGGACCGAATCGGAACCAATTGGTTCGGTTCCAATTCGGTTTCACAATTAGCTATGGAACCAATGGTTCCATTTCTTAAATTTCCATTGGTATTCGGTTTGGTTCGGTTTCCTTTGGAAGCATACCAAACCGGACCGCGCCCACTCCTACTTAAATTGATTTTTTGTATTAAATACACTATAAATTTTTTAAACGGAAGCATACCAAACCGGACCGCGCCCACTCCTACTTAAATTGATTTTTTGTATTAATTACACTATAAATTTTTTAAACGTAAATATGAATTTTCTTGTGATGAACAAAATATTAATGAATAAATATTTTTTAAATGTAAATCTGTATTTTCTCGGATTAAGTATAAATCATTCAAAAATTAAGAACAAAATATTTGATTTGAGCAAAGTTTGATTGTACCCCCTAACTAAAATTTTTTGTGTCCAACCCCGTAACACACATGTATGGTAAAAATATTTTATGGCCTAATTAAGGGTAATTTTAGAAAAGAAATAAATATATTAATTTCTACTGGAGTGAAGTGCACCTACGATCCAACCAATTAGGAGAGAATCAATAGATTCCTTTTCGAGAGTGAATCATCCTTCCCGAACTATCCTTGAATATGGGTGTCTGATAATTATGGACTAATGGAAAAAGTACAACCTGTAAATCCAACGTGAGATTCTACTAAGTTGAATAGCATGCATAGAAAGAATTTCCCATGCATGCATACTCGTTTACTCAACTCACCAACCTCTCCCTGAATATTAAGCAGTCATTTGTTCTAAGATAGCTGTAACCAGAGAATTATTATCTCACTTTATCATTTCTTTCAATCTAAATTTGAAAAGAAGTATATTTCCCATAAATGTCTGATACAATTAGTAGTTGTTCGGACAACTCCCGCAAGTGTACATAAACATTGACAAGTAATAGATGTTGATGAGTTAAGAATATTGTCCCACAGGAAATAAACCTTAAATTAAATTGTATCAACTCGTTATCAAATTCAAATGTAAATAATAAAAGAGATGATTATTTATATCTAAATTACTCTACTAGTTATCTAAAATGCTTTTAAACTAAATATAATATGCATGAGTTGAAAATCCGAATCCACCTATTATTATTGTATTTCTAATTCTCAACTTTTAATTTAGTTTCATTCATGTAATTTTGATAATCGATAATTCTATTGTATTCAACGTTCTTTTTCAAGATGAATTAATTTTATTCTAAACATAAATCGGTTATATTCCTAGTCCAAATTTGAATGAGTAAAAGCATTCAACTGTACAATTATCTAGGTGATAACACATTCAGTAACGCAATTATCGAGATTATTACATACGGGATATATGTTATTCCTAACATCTATTATCCGTGTGTTAATTATATTGTTCTATTTAATTGGGTATGAAATAAGGAAAGTTACCCTGTCTGGGCAGATTTACTGCCATGTGCACGCATGGTTATGACATTTTGGCCTCGTGTTTGGGAATTGGCTGGCTCGCACGTACATGGTATAAATCCTCACGCGGGATTTTTCTCTCTCAATATTCGATTGAGATGATTCAAAGTATATTAAAAATCTAACTCAAATGGATACAATTCTTTTAGAAATATCGTTTTCCAATTCTAATGTTTACTATGCAAAAAATGTGTCTCAATTTGAGACTGAAAATTTAGAGCAAACTTGTGCGGCTAGAAATTGATTTCTGAAAATATTTTGACTATATGTCACTCATTTGACTTCTAATTACATCTAATTGATCATATGTGGTCTTAAATCATTATTTTATGGTTCAAATCAACTACTGAATATTTATATTTTGGTTCTCGAAATTTGGATATTAGTATTAATCTTCAAGTCCTCATACTTTTGGGAGGGCTACCAGCTTTACGATTTCAGCAGCACAGGGAATGCTAACCCGAGCGTGGACTCTACTTATCTGGATACATTACGTCAAACCTGTCTTCAAGGTGGAGATGACACTACCATAGCTAATCTTGATCCTTCAAGTCCCAATGGTTTTGACTAGGGATGTCAACGAGCCGAAACTTGAGGCTTAAGCTCTGCTCGATTAAAATGATCGAACTTTTTTTCGGGTCTAAGCCAGGCCGAGCAAAAGCTCGCCCAAAAATTTTAGGCTCGAGCCGAGCAGGCCCTTTTTTTCTCTTTTTTTTTTTTTTTTTTTTCCTTCTCTATATTAAGTCGCTGCCTTTAAAGGCAACAGTTTTAAGGCAGCAATTCGCTGCCTTTCAAGGCATCATTTTACTGCCATTTACAAGTTAAGTTGTTTCTTTTTTCTTGTTTTTTTATAGATAAAGGCTTGCGGGCTCACAGGCCAACTCGGGCAAAGCCCGTGTCCCCGAAATGGTGCTTAGCTCGAGCCTTGGCTCAAGTCTACCGAGCCCTGAGCCAAGTAGGCTCGGACTTTTCCTGGGCCGAGCCATCGGCGAGCCCGATTGACAACCCTAGTTTTGACAATGACTACTTCACAAACCTCCAGAGTAACATTGGATTTCTTCAGACAGACCAAGAACTGTTCTCAACAAGTAGAGCTGATACAGTGTTTATTGTCAACGGGTTTGGCAATAGCCAGAGTGAATTTTTCGATGCTTTTGTTCAGTCCATGATTAAATCCCTTGATAGGAAACAATAGAGAGATCAGGGCTCATTGCAAACGTGTTAATTAGACAAGCATTTGAAACAGATGTTGAAAGTACGGACCATTTTTTCTTTACCGCAAAGATAGAGAAGTGTATAACTGTGAATTTTGACATCAAGTTCCATATGCATTTATCATGTCAAATTTTCAATCAATAAATTTGTAATTCAAGTTTGTTTATTCAATTGATTTTGTTGCAAATAATGGCAAAGAAACATCAAAAGCACAATAAAGTAGAAACCCCAATGGAATTCTCTATTCAGACGCAAAAAAGGATGTCAAATTTCTACCAAGATAGCCGAAGTACCAACAAACTGTGCAGAGATGTTCACAACTTTCAACATAAACGGGCATTCTTGTTAAGAATCGAGACATCTGAAGTCAGATCAATTATTTATTCTACTTGTACAGTTAAATTATTTGTAAGCAGAAAGGGAGGAATTACAAATGTCTCACAGAATACTTCGAGATCCACATCAGCTTTCATTCGTCATCCATTCATTCTATATTCCAACAAGAAAGCGAAATCTAAGTTCGAAGAGCTTTATCCGATTCTTAAGAAAGACCAATAACCCTCCCTGTGGCGGCATCAAGGTCAATGTCATAGAAGCAAGGCCTTGTTGGTAGACCAGGCATCGTACTCATTGTCCCGACTAAAGGATAGATAAATCCGGCACCAATGCTTGCCCTGACGTCCCTGATTGGTAGGACAAAACCACTTGGAGCACCTTTCGCTGAAGCGTCATGAGAAAATGAATACTGTGTTTTTGCCATGCAGATTGGCAAGTGGGAAAATCCTTGCTTGCTATACACCTCAATCTGTTTCTCTGCCTGCACGTCCAAAAACAAAGAAATCAAAATCAAAAGTTGAAGTAAAAACCATACGAAAGTAACCTTGATTGACCACATTGAAAAAACTTTCTTTCTTAGCCTGTTTTCTATTTGAGACATAAGGTGCACTGTAGGATATGGATTAACCATCGTAATAAATTAGCCTCCGTTTGGCAAAGTTATAAATGGTTTATAAAGAGGAATAGTAGTGGACCCCACGAAGCGTGAATAATGAATAGTAATTATAAATATGTGGTTGAAATTAATGTTTGATTTTAACTGAATTTATAAACCATTTATATTTTGTTATACAAACGGAGGCTAAGATAACTATATTTAATTGGATGAATATCAGATAAAAACAAAGAAAACGCGCTACCAAAATTAGATCGTGTAGTTATGCACAATTTTTGGATTCCAGCAACTGTAATAATAATAATAATAATAATAAATAAATAAATAAATAAATAAAATTGCCTTTTTGTCCATTTTATTGTGTTGAGTTTTCTTGGGTTGGGTGTTTGTGACAACTGAAAGGCTTTATCAAAAAAACATAAACTGCTTAAGGCAAGTTTGGAATTTAAGCGGTCCATTGTGACCCCCCCCCCCCCCCCCCCTCTTCTTTTCTTGATCTTCGATTGTTCTTTAACAAGTTATACGCTCCTGTGTCAAGTCACTTCCATGTTAAAAGGCAGGTTATCTCTCTAGGTCAATGTCATAGTCCAGCATGTAGACAATTAACTTAGCCAAAGAAAAAAATATTTAAGAAGACGCAGAAAGTCAGCATGATCTCTATATAATTTCAAATCAAGACTGATAAGCATGCGAAACATCAAAAATTTAACTCAAATACAAGATGTTGAGCAGAAATGGGAATGAAAAGAAACACTGTGAATGTCAAACACTTTACTTGTTCTGAGTACTCAACACCACTGGCACCATATGACTTCGCTATTGCCTCTATTTTTTCTTTGATACTTATATCCAAGGGATACAAGAATCTCAATGGCTGTGTCACATTTTCACAGGCTTTTTGAACTGCAATGCCAAGGTCAACCTGAAAAAAAATAATAATAATAATAATAAAGAAATTAAAAATTAAAAAATAAAAATTATACACACACACACACACACATATTTCAGTCAACATAAAATACAGTGTAAAATTTTGCAGATAAAAGGCAGTACGAAGACGGCACAAAATTGCAAGAAAGAGTCTAATAAACCTTTTGGTAGTTAAGGAAGTTGAATTATGCTGTGAATTTTTTACTAAAGCTTGCATACCTTTAAACTTATGCTTTGGCATCAAGGATTTTTACTAGAACTGAAGATTCAAGATTCTATATACGCTCATGATGTCAAACCCTGGCGATCAAATTTGACATTACTGACCACAATAAAACCCTCAGTTGATAATTAAAAGAAAATATGCCCCAGTCTTAAAAACTCAAGATATGTCCTTAAGGCGTTGGGCCATTTTGGGACACAACTAAAAAACCATTGGGAATTATCAAACAAGCATTCCAAATTTACAACATACTATTTATTACTCCCACGAGATTGTCCATTGACTAGATTAAATAGCAGGGGATTCCACAAGTGTCTTTAATGTGTAAAAAGGGGCTGCTATTGGAAGTTTTGTGCAGGCATTTAAGATCTTCAGTAAGTTATCAGTTTCTTAGACTGTTTTTCTTTATTAAATTGTGCATCTCTGAGCATTTCTACAGCTATCATGTCGAAAAAGTTTAGACTTTAGCACATGATTCTATCGAAGGAACAGATGAGTCGAATTAGCCGCAGGAAGGGATAGCTTATTTGCTGTCGAATACAAGTATCCAGCTATGGGAGCAGGCTGATCACCTTACTATTAACTAACCAAAATGAAAAACTACTAGAATGGCTTAATTATTTCATTGGTTTCAATGAAATGGATCATTTCCCTTCTCTTTAAAGCATGACACATGTTAAATAGACATGCAAACCAAAAGCAAAATCTCATAACAATATTGACCTGACAATATAGCTCAACAAAAGACTAGGCTAATCCTTTAGAATTTGCTATGACGTCAACAAGAGGGAAACAACAAGAAACGGGAAGAGACAAACAAGGAGTATCAGTAACAAAACAATAAAGTGGTGTACTTTCACCATTCAGATGGGTACTGATACAATTTTACAGACGTCAGAAGAAGTTTGCCCAATCACTCAACTAATGGTTGGGAGATTGAATGCAGTCCACAGTAATCTATCAACTCTACGGGGTCGAGTTTTCTCCCCCCCGGGGAGAGTCATCTATTTTTATTTCTAGTTCGACCTTATTTTGTTTTGTGGACCTTATTTTTGTTTTGGATTCTTCTTTATGTAATTAGGCTTATATTAGCTCAAGCCCATTCTAATTAGGGTTTTGGCTTTTTACTATTTAAACCTACTTTGCTGTGTAATTTCATTAGTTGATGAATGAAAAAATTATTTTGGTGGCTTGTGGCAACTTTCTCTCTTCGCTCCATCTGTCTTCTACTGATTCTTCTTCTACCCCACTCTTCTCTCAATTCCCTCCTCCCCATAGATCCGTTCTCACTTTCAATTAATTGTTCGAGTTGGTGCTGCATTAGGTACAGATCGACATACAACTACTATGGATTTTAAAATGATTACTGCATAAATTTGGTGAAGGGTATTTTGCCATAGGTTTTTTGACTTTCATGGGATCTTATTATGTTCTTTTACTACTACTGCTTTTCAGTTGTCCTTTTCTTTCATCTCTTTTTACTTGGGCCAGGATTAATTTCATCCTCAGCGCTAGTAAGTTTAGCAATGATATATTACTTTATATAATCAACAACCCCTAAAAACAAACACTAAATTTAGTAACTAACCGCTCCTTTACCACCGTGTGCGTGGTGAGAACAAATAACAGCATCAAAAGCCCCTGCTTCTAAAGCCGCATTCCTGACTACACTTAGTTCAGCTCCAGAATCAGTTGAAAACTTGTTGACAGCAACAACAACATTAACACCATAAGCCTTTGTATTTGAGATATGCCGGGCCAGATTAATGCAACCAGCTTCAACAAGAGCCACATTCTCAGTCACATAGGCACGGTCAAGAGGCTTGCCAGCCACAACCTGAGGCCCTCCACCGTGCATTTTGAGGGCCCTTATGGTTGCTACAATAACAGCACACTGAGGGGTTAAACCGCTATATCGACACTTAATATTCATAAACTTCTCTGTTCCAATATCAGCCCCAAAGCCTGCTTCAGTAACCACAAAGCCATCGGGTCCCACCAGCTTTAGTGCTATTTTATCTGCAACAATTGATGAGTTCCCATGAGCAATATTTGCAAAAGGACCGGCATGGACAAGGACAGGGGTGCCCTCAAGAGTTTGCATCAATGTAGGATTAATGGCATCTTTCATCAACACAGTCAGAGCACCTCCAACTCCGAGATCATCAGCTGTAATGGGATCACCAGCCTTGCTATTTCCAATTACCATTTTGCCAAGCCTCTCTCTCATGTCAGATAGGGACGTTGTTAGAGCCAACACTGCCATTATTTCACTAGCTACAGAAATGTCAAATCCGGATTCTCTTACCATCCCCTTTTCTTCAGGACCCTGGCCAATAGTAATTTTCCTCAGGAATCGGTCATTTACATCCATTACTCTTCTCCATGTGATGGATTCAGGATTGATATCGAGCCTGGCAAATTTATTAACTTCTTCTGGTGTAAGCTCTTCAGGGTTGGTCTTGGAGATGCCAAGTTTCTTCAAACGGGTAAACATTATGTCGTTGAAACTCCTTCTACCTTCTTTATTCGGTGGGCATAACCTGTTGAACAGAGCCTTATCAGATTGTGTGGATTCATGGAAAATTCTAGTATCAATGGCTGCTGCAAGAAGGTTATTTGCAGCTGTTATTGCATGGATATCCCCTGTCAAGTGAAGATTGAACTCATCCATTGGGATTACTTGGCTATAACCTCCACCTGCTGCACCACCTTTGATTCCAAATGTAGGCCCTTGTGATGGTTGGCGAAGGCATGTGACCACCTACAAGAACCAGACAGAAGGGAGGAGAAATAATACTCTCTTTAGAACAATATAAGAAAGAGAGCTGTTAGAATGGTATATTCATTACAATTCATCAGGCTAGCAATTTCTTTGGCATTTACATCAGATAACTCTTTGTTTGAAACTATTAAATTGTGATGTCAAATAATAAGGCTAAAGGAGAAAATGTCCTACAACAGGATGTAGGGATATGCCAAAATTCAATTCCCATTCATTGGATTCTAACAATATTTTTTGTTGCTGCATCAAATGCACTTTATTAGTTTGGTAAGATCCATGCTTTCAAAGTTTAACAGCTGTTTCTTCATGCCCAATGGGATTTTGATTTTTTGATCAGCTCCCAATATCAAGAAACATCAACTTTCGTTTCATTTCACTTTTTACTCACTCTCCTGGTTTCATCCAGAAGACAAAACTGAAAAACCTTAATAAGAGGCTTAACTTGATCTAAAATAGTAAAATATATATGTACGCTACTTGAAAGCCGAAAAAGGAGTAAAGATAAAGAAACTTATGCTAGAAATATAGACAAATAAAAGATTACATAAATATTACCTTTTTATCAAGAAAAGCTCCCAATGCTTGACAAAGACCAACAGTAGTAGTGGACTTGCCTTCTCCAAGAGGTGTAGGAGTAATCCCTCCAACCACCACATAAAACCCATCTCCTTTACCTTTCAGTTCATCAATCACTGACAGTAATACCTATAATGTTCACAAAACTAAAATTAGTCACCCAATTTCGAACATCAAATAAAATGCAAATGAATTGCAAAACAGACAAGCTCTAGTCTAGTGCATACTTATAAGCATGCATATAGATCATCGCCCAACATATGATAATGCTAACTAGTTTATAAATAGAAGTGGATAAGCAAATCAACACAAGAACACAGAAAAAAGTAATACCTTGGCTTTGTACTTGCCATAGAGATCGTAATGGTGGGGACTAAGATTTAGTTCTTGGGCAATCTCAGAGATATGAAGTGGTTCAACTGAATTAGCTATATCTATATCCGCGGGCACGGGCGATGCCACTTGCAGTTTCCTCACTGTCTTGCTCATTATTTGCTTGTTTCTATGCAAAATCTTGAATTTCTTTTTTCTGGGCTGTCTTAAAATATTGATTCCAGAACGTGAATCTGATGCAGGATCTTGCAGTATCTATGATCAATCGGTTGAAGAGTGTGATGAACAGTAAATCTGGCAATGCATTGAAGTCAGAATTTGGGGATGGTAGGGACTGTCTTATCTTTGATTAAGATAATCATAGTACGTTCGAAACTGCAAATGTTAAACGCACCGCATCTTGAAATGATATAAATCCAAAAATGAAAAAATAAGGAAAAAAATCGAGTCACACACAAAATGGAGATGCGGGGTATCGATCCCCGTACCTCTCGCATGCTAAGCGAGCGCTCTACCATCTGAGCTACATCCCCATCTTGGTTAAGAGTTCTTACTCATACAATTATAACTATGAAACATTGAGCGGTAACAGTTACTAAACTCCCAATTAAAATCGTTTTGAATAGGGCTGGGCAAATCTCCCGAACCGAACCGAACCCGAACCGAACCGAACCCGAACCGAACCGATCCGAACCCGACGGTTCTTGTCAAATTAAATACCCGAACGGGTATCTGAATTGAGAACCGACGGGTACGGTTCGGTTCTTGGTTCTAGACCAAGAACCGAAGAACCGAATAAGAACCGAATCTTTCTAATTTTTTTTTATATTGAGTAAATCAAATTATTTTAATTTTAATTTTTTCTAAACAAATTAACAAATTAATGATTTCTAAATCCAAATTTTTGGCCCAATAATTTGTTTCATTTCTAATTTTTGGCCCAATTACCCATTTTATTATTTCATTTCTTAGCCAAACAAGATCAAATCCACTAAATAACCCTAAACACCTACATAGAGTGCATAACGTTGTCTCGACTCTCACACTCACTCTTGCAGTCTATCTAATATTCCAAAACTTATACAATCGTCGGTCGACACTCTGACCTCCACATAATAAAATACATTAACAAGTGCTACAACACCTATTGAAACTATATAAAAGCATAGAGGTATATTTCCATCTTTTATGGAACATTACAATGTTTGTTCTTAAACCCTATTATCTTTCTCGATAATAATAAAACATACTAAACAATTCAGTTAGTAATTAAACAATTGAAAAGAACGCTAATAAACATCCACAAACCAAACCAAACCAAACCAAATTAAAGTCAAAATTACTATTTAAAAACTAAAAATATCTTGACAATGATTTATCTCATCCTAGCAATGTATAAAATTAGCATAATATATCAAAATTATAAGAAATCATATTTAAGCGAAAAGACATAATTCGAATTTTTGATAAATTGAGAAGATGAAGATGAATCTTGAAATCTTGAGTCTCTTCAATAATTTATTGATAAATGTCCACTTACACCTTCTCTTATTTGCCTAAAAATCAAGTTTGAATCTTCATTTAATTGAATTTTTACAAATCCCCATCTATTCTCTCACAAAAATTATAAATTTTCATCATTTGATAATAATAATCAATTGGTATTGGAGTATACATAGAGACTTAGGAGAGGTCTTTTTATATGTTTTCTGCTATTAGGTATTTGTAGGAATCAAAAATTGGTTGAAAATAACATCCAAATTAGTTTTCTAAAGAGTTCCAATTGAATAAGAAAAGTTGTATTCGCCCGCGCATGTTTTTTTATCTGCACAACGATCAGTATTTTGATCATAACTTTCTTTTTCGATATATGATTGAGGCGGTTCAAAGTGCGTTGGAATGCTAACAATCTTTAACTAAAAATCTAGATGATATTTTGTGTGACTAGAAATCAATTTATGGTAATATTCTGATCATATTCTATTTATTATTGACTTCTAATTGCATCTAATTTACACCTAGCAATCTTCAAAGTATCTCTTGTGGTCCAAATCAACCGCTGAATATTTACAATTTAGTTTTCAAACTTTGTACTTCAACATTTTTCACGCGTTTTTCTCTTCTTTCTTTCAATTCCACTTCCAATAATCGAATTTTACCTAATAAACAAAATATACAATAAATTAGGTTATAATGCTTAAAAGAACTATTAAATGTATATATTTTTATGTCCAAATAAATGTATAAAATACAGTTATAAAAGAAGATCTCCAAGAGATTCTCTTTTTTTAAAGACCATATTCTATCATTTGAAGAGCATCCTTAAATTTAGAGCGTTAAAATTTTGAAGTATTCCAACAAGCTCTTAATATTTAACACTTACTTTTACTACTCCCAAAATATATTTATCATTTTTATCTATATTTTATTTTAACTAACTTTTCTTTAGATTATTTTATTATTATTCTACATTAAAAATTGAAACACACTTTGATTGTATTTAATTATAAAGAGTGAGTCCACTATCTAAATTACAATGTTAATTTAAAAAGTCTTATGAAACCATAATTTTAAAGATCGGCCATTTAAAATAGAGAATAGAGAGCATCTCATATTTAAAAAATTTCTGACGTTCTAACTAACTAAAATCAAACTACAAAATTAAGGTTGCAACTACTTTATTAAAAAAAACACACACACACACAATTGATTTTTTAGATGAAAAAGAGTCAAATAAATTCAATCCGACGCGAAAAACTTCATTTAAATTTTAAATGTTGAACCAAATCCAAGACCAAAGAATAATTCCGTTTCAGTTTGCTTGTAACAACTGTAACTAATATTTATATGACAAACTTATGAACCCCAATAATATTTACATGACAAAATTATGAACACCGATCGCCATGAATTTTTACAAAAACTTACATAATCATAAATCATATGAACAATCACAATATTATGAGCCAGGAACGATGTCTACTTTCTAAAATTGATTTTCCACAGATCAACTAGAAGTAGATAGCTCCTCTGAGATACCTACGGAACTCAAGTAACACGAGAAGAAAGAAAGATGGACTACACTTACATTTGCTTTTTTTCCCTTCATCCCAACCTCCTATTATAGCATAGGTGAGGTTACACATACATTAGGATGTCCATAACGGTATTCACCCCCTCACACGGAAGGGAGCCCACTTTCAATAAAATATAATTTATCTGAAGTGGAATCCACCATCATGTAAGGAGGTGGACACCATTATGGACACGACATTATGTATAAATATCATATTCCTTATAGCATCTCCAAGATAATCTTTATTTATAAAGGTACAACTTTAAATTTAGAGAGTCAAAAATTTTATACCCTCCAACAATGCTATCTATTTTGGCTCTTTATTTTACTTTTCTCAAAAAATAAATATTGATTTTTTCCCATACTTCAACTTAAAATAATTTTTGTATGTCAATGACTAGTTAATTTAAATATGATTTAATTAGTTTAAGAAGTACAATATTGAAATATGTGAATTATTAAATGTAAGAATTGTACATTAAAAAATAGAGTCTCTTAGAACTTATTTTTAACTCTTTAAAATAAAGAGACTTTTGTATTTAGATAGTCTTATGAAGGTACTCTTGTAGTGGATAGGTAGAATTCAAAAAGTTTTCCAATATTGAAATATGTGAGTTATTAAATGTAAGAATTGTACATTAAAAAATAGAGTCTCTTAGAACTTATTTTTAACTCTCTAAAATAAAGAGACTTTTGTATTTAGATGGTCTTATGAAGGTACTTTTGTAGTGGATAGGTAGAATTCAAAAAGTTTTCCAGCCAAGTGATAACCAATCGCATGTTGACACATAAGCCCTAATGAAAAGATATAATGACTATTGATGACATGTATGAAGAGGTTTAGTTGTAAAATTGATGATGAATGGGCACGTGTGCAAAGTTCACAGATGCCACGTGGCCTAGAGTCTAATTGATTTCGTCTCTTTTGTATTTTTACCTTTCCAATTAATCAAGAGGCACATGGATTTTACTTTCGATCAATCGATCGAGATTGGAGAGGTTAATGTTGCTATCATAATAAGTAAGTATGATTACGAAAACTCTTTTTTGTACGAATGATCAATAAAGCCACATTGCAATTGCGCATAAGATTACGAGGAGAGGTGATCAATTTAATATATCATCTATTATAGAAAAAAAAAAGTCGCGCTTCCAAACTAATGCCTTATCAAAAGAAAGTGATCATTCTCTGATCGACAGGTTGTGATCTACAGCTTGTCACCTTATGAAAGTCTAGGTCAAAAGTATATCTCTTTCAAGAAGGTTTGATGAGTCCCTGAAATAAGTTTTTTTGAATGATGTTATATGTACACTTCTAGTATACATAATGAATTACACCCCCTTACGTGTACACAAAAAGTGTATAAGTAGACTAACTTATTTTTTTAACCAACCATGATTCACACCTAAAATCCAAAAACATGTCCCAATTTTGCCATATCATCTTGACGGAGTTTCCATATAAATGAGCAAGTATACATTTCCATCTACTCTTCCTTACCCTCCTACTTTTCCAAGACCAGTGAGAAAAATGTGCATCGCACGTTAGTTGTTGAATGTTAAATATAAGTGTATGGTAGTTGTTGAACTGACATGCATGACAGCATTTTATAAATTGAAATTGAATAAAATGGACACAAGAAAGACCTGTAAGCAAATTGCAAAAAATTATCATCGTTTTTTGAATCTATCCGTCAACAATGTTATTATAAGATTGAATATAAACAGAGAAAAGAGTCCATTACTAGCAAGTTCAATTAAACCGTACGATTTGAAA